ATCCTCGGCAATATATGACATTCAGTGAAAAGGGATGAAGAGGAAGAGAAAGAGGAAGAGGAAGAAAAGGACAATGATGAACCATACAAATTTGAATCATTTGGTCTTGGAAATGCAGTGCACATGGATGATCAACCCATAGAATTATGCAAAGAAGACATGGAAATGATATGTGTTGATATATGGCGAATTCCATGAGGAGAATCTTGAAGATGATGAAGTTAATGATGATATGATTGATTATGATAGTGATGATAATCAATGAAATTTGCTGTTATTTAATTTTCTAAGGCTTTTGAAATTTCTGTATATATTGTTCGATTTCGTTGGAATGTGCCCTTTTTTATACTTTCTAGTTATAATAGGTTGAGTGAATTAATGTTGTTCTTTTCTATGTGTTGAAGAGTTCTTGAATTGCCAATATGAACTTATTTTTTTTTCAAAAATACAAATCTTACAAATCTACTTGATGTTATTTACTGATGTGCATTTTACTAAGGATATTTTGATTTTTGAATATTAGTTATGAAAAGGTCTCCTTGCAATTATGCTTAACTGGAAGTCTGGGACTACGGATGATGATGAATCCACAAGGAGTAACATATTTGCATGAATGCTAAGTGTAATTAAAGATTACTCTGCAAACCCTGTTACTTGAAGGTAATTTCTTATCTCAAGAAATTGCATCTGGTAACTTGCATTGGTGCATTAAATCCACTATATGATTTGTCCATTTGATGACACTTCTGATTGGCAGTGAAACTTGCCCAGATACTGTTGGAATGTTATCAAATGTAATTATTTTCTTTCTTATAGCAATAATTTACAGATGCAACAATGACTTGCTTATAGTGTATCTAAGAGCATACTCTTGCGGAAAGGGCTACATTCGTACCTGTCTTAGTTGACACTATTATTAAATTTTATTTTATTTTTGTTGGTAAATATTGTAATCCTTGTAAAAAACTCTGCTGTTATAGCATTCTGATGATACAGCTTTATGCATCATGATTCTGCTTATTCTTTACTTATAACTATGAGTATTATTTGCAAAGTAATATCAGTGTACATTAGTGATATAACCTCAACTTCTCAAACAGGTATGTCCACAAGAGGCAGAGGACGAGCAGGGTATGTACCTAGCCCCATGCACCTACACCCCATGCATCCACTAAATCATTCGCTCATCCACTCATCAAACACCTGGACCCCATGCATCCATTAAATCAGTTCGATCATTCTACACTGCACCATTTACATCAGAATCGGTACATGAAGTTAGTCACAATTGATTTACACTCGGATACTTCTAGCACACATTGCAACACTGATGGTTGTAATATTTTAAGTTTAGTTTGTTTTGGTTGGTGGTTCTCGTCTTTCAATCTATATATTAACATGATACTTTTTTATTTTTCTATGTAGCCCACATCCAAGGGTAAGAGAGAGTGGAAGTCACGAAGCCTCACAATGGCCAAGCTAAAAAATCAAGGGGTGCGATTGCCTATTCAGATTTGTAAGGTTAGTGATGACGACCATATGGTGAAGCATCTGAAAAATTTACCAGTGAATTAGGGATTGTCACTAGGCAATTTGCCCCACAAAATGTGCCATCGTGGAACTGATATTAGTGAAGAGGATAAAGAAACATTGGTTGCATACCTTCAGGTAAGTGGTACAATTGCTGAGATTTAGATTTCCTCTTTGCAAATTATTTTCTGGATAATTATTTTCCAGTAAATTTCCTCTTCCCACATTATTTCATCAAGCATTTTGATAGCACTATTGTGTACCATTTATTTGTTTCTGGCACAATAATTAACACGCACCTAAACAACTTTGAGGAAGATTTTAATGTGTTTAATTTTTTCTTGTTTGGTATGACAGGAAGGTTTTAAGTTTACCAAATGAACCCTATGCTATCGAATCTATCTCAATTTGATGCACGACCGGTATAAGAGCTATCGCCATGACCTACGACAACGCTTAGAAGTTTCCCTACAATGAATCTGCCCTTGCGGATCCACCCGAAAAACATGGAAAAAGAGACGTGGAAGTTTTTGTGCGAAAAGTGGTCTGAACAAGGACTATAAGGTAAAGTTGTCAATCTTGTCTCATTTTCTGTCAAACATGATGGTTTAAATATGAAGTGCCCTAAGCTCCGTGTCATAATATGCTATGGTATGAACAGTAATTGTTTCCTATTAGAAGTAAATGCCGAGTTTGATGTAAAATACACATTAACTTGCAGAATGCTTGTGATTTGTTGAATCTTTAAACAAGGAATTTCTGAAAGACTACTTTACGCATTAAAAAAAATATGCATATTTTTATTTTTGTGACTATAGATTTATTATGATTGGCTCAAAAGTTTTGATTGTTGATTTTTAACTTGTGAGAGAGAGAATTAGATTTTTGTTGTATTTTTTTTATTCATTTTAACTTGAAATCAGAGAAGATAAGCATGAATCATCTTAGACTTAAATGGAATATGATCCGTCTTACCTGGCATCTGTTTTGATTTATACTTCATTCCACATGACGGTGGGATACTAGCAAATCAATAACTGTCGATTAAATCCCTGTAATGAAGTATTTTATTATTTTTATATAATATATATATATCATGCGATGTTCCTAGGTTGAAAAGTAATTATCTAGATGATTTACTCAATTTTATAATGCTTGTCATATAATGCCAAGTCTTACTTTGTATTTTTTTTATTCATTTACTTGAAATCGGGAGATAAAGCATAATCACTCTTAGAACTTAAACGAGAAATGGCAAATAGACACTGGAGAAAATTGATTCCATAAAACTGACCCATCTACAATTTACTATAACCATTTCAACCTGCTATCTCCAATTCTATATTTCTGTAGATGAAAATGTTTAATAAAAAGAAACATTTGTACATGACTTAATCATTAATAATGGGGATGTGGCACGAAAAGTTGAATCGGGAAAGTTGAGTCTCCACACGCTGCTCAAAGGCCTTCAGAAAAGTGCAGATATGATGAGGTATTAATTAAGAATCTATAAATGTTTGTAATGTAATGAACAACTAATCAATGAGTTTAATGTGTGCTATAAATGGCACGCGAACATGCACTGAGAAACTTGGACTTGTTGATGTACAAAAGACGCATTTTAGTGAGAAAAAAGAGGCATGGGTGCATGCTGATGCTGAGATTAGACATGTAAGACATCAATCTTTATGTACTTTCATTCCTTATATCCTTAATAAAATGTGGATGGATACTTAATTTTTATCTAACTAATGAATATTGTAGTACAAGCTTGAAAAAACGGCAAAGAGAAAGCTATTGAAGAAGGATCTTGCCTGATATCTGATGAGCAACTTCTATTGAGGTATTTGACAAAAAGTTGACTAACATACGCGGCTTTAGGGCGTGGTCGAAAACCAAGTACAAACATTATCTGAAAACTTACCTCGTGCCCAACTCGAGAGGGTAATGAGACTTTGACAAAAAGCATGAGTCATTCGCCAAAGATCCTCGAAATGTTAGGCTCGGATTAGCAAGTGACGGCTTCAATCCATTTGGGAATATGAGTACCTCATATAGCATATGGCCAGTTTTTATTGTTCCGTACAATTTGCCACCCTGGAAATGCATGAAAGATCCATTTTTTATGATGCCTTTGCTTATTCCTGGGCGTAGAGCTCCTGGATTTGACATTGATGTGTTTTTACGACTGCTAATAGATGAGCTAAATGAGTTATGGGAGGTAGGGGTAGAGACCTACGATGCATCAAGTGGCTCTAATTTTCAATTGCGCGCGGCATTATTATGGACTATCAATCTCCTCCTGTTGCTTCTTATCCCTTAAAACTCCAGGCAATTCAATCAAAACACGCTTAGATTCAACATCTTCAATCCCAACTAGCCGAAATGGTATTGTCCGAGATCTTAAGCACGTTTTGCCCAGCACACCCAACTCACAGCTCCCAAAAGCGCTCTTGATCTTCTCCTTCAGCTTTATGTTATGTTTTTCTTTCTCTACTTGTTTCTAGTGTATGTATGCATGTTTGCAATTTATGTTTTGTTTTTCGTTCTTTACTTGTTGGATTTTACTGCCATAATCACCAGCCTCCTATAGAAAGCCATTTGGTATGCTATAGCCATTACACTTGGACTTAACATTGCCAAACCTTTCTTCTCCTTATAGGGGTTTGACCTTATTTGATTTATGACCTTATTTAACTTAACATTGCGATTATTTATTTATTTATTTTTATTTTTTTTTAAAGTGGGGATATGATTGTTATCAATGTTATTATGTGTCCTGATGTTTTGCTTTTGCTTTTGTTTTAGCTTTTGTTTTATGTGGTGTGCCTTGGCAATACATCCCTAAATTTTTATTTGTCAAAAGATAGATATGAATCACATAGTCAAAAGTAGATATACATATTAGTGAAACTTCTTCAAGAGTTGTGTTCCTCCTTTAAGACCACATATAGAAAGTAACAAGATATTGGAATTGAAGGATAATGTCTTTGTGTACTTTGTAATAGGGATTTCGGGATGGATAGGAGTTGGATGCAACTTCATAATAGAAGGTTACATCAATACATTGATGGGGTAAAAGAATTTATCATGTTTGCTCGTGATCATATGAAATCAGGGACGAGTAAGATTTGGTGTCCGTGTAATAGATGCAACAACCGTATCCAAAAAACCATAGATGAAGTTGAAATTCATTTGTTTGCATATGGGGTTGTCACAACTTACACTGGGTAGGTGTATCATGGGAAAGATTTTGAGTTGAATGACAGTGATCCCTTGGAAAATGAAAATGACGAATATTTCAATGATGTGATAGAGAAATCAAATTCTTCCAATACTGAGGTGCGAGAAATTGTCCATGACATACATAGTGGACCATCCACATTTGCTTATACTGGGGAAGCATCTAGTAGTCGTAATCCTGACTTGTTTGGTGCTCATGGTAGTGAAGGAAATACATTTCAAGATTAATGAGGGATGCAGAACAAGAATTGTATCCGAATTGCCAGCGATATTCCAAATTATCATTTATTGTTAAGCTGCTACATATAAAGGTGCTCAATAAATAGAGCAACAAATCACTCACGATGATGCTAGAACTGTTGAAGGATGCACTTCCCATCGGTGAAACACTCACATGCTCATATAATAAAGTTAAACAAATACTTTGAGATTTGGGCCTTGACTATCAAAAAATACATGTATGCAAGAACGATTGCGTACTTTTTTGGAAGGAGTATGAAAATGAAGATGAGTGTCCTACTTGTAAAGCGCCAAGATACAAGGTTCGTAAAGGTAAAGGTAAAGGTAAAAAGATCCCTCACAAGGTTCTGCGATACTTTCCTTTAAAACCACGGCTACAAAGGCTATTCATATCCAGGAAGACGGCTATTGATATGAAGTGGCACAAGGATAAACGTGTAGAGGAGGAAAATGTGTTGCGTCATCCGGCTGATTCTGAAGCATGGAAAGACTTTGACAAAAAGCATGAGTCTTTCGCCAAAGATCCGCGTAACGTTAGGCTCGGACTAGCTAGCGATGGTTTTAACCCGTTTGGAAACATGAGTAACTCATATAGCATATGGCCGGTTTTTCTTGTCCCATACAATTTACCACCATGGAAATGTATGAAGGATCCATTTTTTATGATGCCTTTGCTTATTCCTGGGCGTAGGGCTCCCGGGTTTGACTTTGATGTGTTTTTACGGCCATTGATAGATGAGTTAAAGGAGTTATGGGAGGTAGGGGTAGAAACATACGATGCATCAAATGGCCAAAGTTTTCAATTACGTGCCGCATTGTTATGGACCATCAACGATTTCCCTGCATATGGTAACTTATCCGGTTGGAGCACCAAAGGGAAATTGGCTTGCCCTTCATGTAATGAGGATGCATCTCACCAATACTTGCATCATTGGAAGAAAACTTGTTACACGGGACATCGTCATTTTTTGCCGCATAATCATGTTTTACGAAAAAGCAAGGCATTCAATGGTGAGCCAGAGCATAGATCGGAACCCAAGTTGTTGTCTGGGGAGGAGGTTTTGGGACAATTGGAGCATCTTGACTCAACAGTATTTGGAAAGATAGATGAACGTGGGAAGAAGCAAAAACGTTCTCCTCAATATTTAAATTGGACAAGGAGAAGTATCTTCTTTGAGTTACCTTATTGGAAAACCCTTAAAGTTCGCCACAACCTCGATGTTATGCACATTGAAAAGAATGTATGCGATAGTGTGATGGGAACATTGATGAACGTTGATGGAAAAACCAAGGACTCATACAAGGCTTGTCTTGATCTAGTGGCTATGGGTACAAGGCCTGAATTACACCCAAGGCAAGTAGATGGAAAAACCTACCTACCCACTCCTTGCTTCATGCTCTCTCCAACTGAAAAAAGGAGTTTTTGTGAATTCTTGAGTACAATTAAGTTGCCAGATGGCTATGCATCAAACATATCACATTGTGTGAGCACTAGTGATTGTCGAATTACAGGGTTGAAAAGCCATGATTGCCATGTTATCTTGCAAAGATTGCTTCCTGTTGCCCTACGTGGATGTTTGAAAAAGGATGTGAGCAAGGCTTTAATTGAGCTTTGCTTGTTCTTTAAGGAGTTATCGGCAAAAACATTGAGAGTTGATGTCTTAGAACAACTTGAGAAAGATATTATTTTAATTTTGTGCAAGCTTGAGAAGATATCTCCACCATCTTTTTTCGATATTATGATCCATTTATGCGTACACTTATCACGTGAAGCAATCCTTGCTGGACCGGTGCAATACCGGTGGATGTATGCATTTGAGAGGTACATGCATATTCTTAAGGGCTATGTGCGTAACAAAGCCCGTCTAGAAGGCTCTATTGCTGAAGGTTACATTGATAATGAGGCTCTTACATTTTGCTCTATGTACTTCAACGAAGGTGAGACAAAATTTAATAGACTAGAGCGGAATTATGATGGGCCTATTAAAGCTACACAAGATGGAAATATTTCTGTATTTAAGCAAAAAATACGTGGAATAGGAGCTGCAGTTAATGATGTGTTGAATTTAAAAGATTTGAAGAAAGCTCGATGGTATGTGTTGAATAATTGTGATGAAGTTCAACCGTATGTGAGGTAAGAAACCACCATATGATTATATTCACTGCAAAAATTTTCATTGTGAATTCTACTACTTTCACAACTATTTGTGTCAAATAATGTTGTGTAATAATTTATAGGCAATACATGGATGAACTTGAGAGACAAGGTTTGAGAAATGTTCAAGAGAGGCTGGAATCAAAGTTTCATACATGGTTTCTAAAATACGTAAGAGCTGTAAATTTTTAACCTTATTTGTGCATTTAAATAATGTAGCTAAGTATATGCTAATACATTTCACATCATAAATGGAATTAGGTCACAAAGCAACAACTTGAAGGGACCATGGACGCTTCCAATCAACTTATGAACCTAGCCCGAAGTCCTGATAGTCAAGTGACGCGATACAGTGGTTGCATTATCAATGGGACCAGATTTCACACTCAAGATCGTGACATGAACCGAAAAACTCAAAATAGTGGTGTGGTTGTTAAGGGTGACCATAAAGGAGAAGCTATTGATTTTTATGGAGTTGTTAGAGATATAGTCGAGTTGAAATATCTAGGGAGAAATCGGGTGTTCCTCTTTAAGTGTGATTGGTGGGATGTTGGCAATGAAAAAAATGGAATAAAATTTGATGATTATAAATATGTTAGTGTGAATGTTACAAGAACTTGGTACAAGGATGAACCGTTTGTGCTAGCATGCCAAGCTATACAAGTGTTTTATATGAAAGACATGAAATTTGGCAACAATTATCGAGTTGTACAAAGAATAATGCCTCGGGCAATATATGACATTCCAGTGAAAAGGGATGAAGAGGAAGAGAAAGAGGAAGAGGAAGAAAAGGACAATGATGAACCATACCAAGAATTTGAATCATTTGGTCTTGGAAATGCAGTGCACATGGATGATCAACCCATAGAATTATGCAAAGAAGACATGGAAATGATATGTGTTGATATTGATGGCGAATTCCATGAGGAGAATCTTGAAGATGATGAAGTTAATGATGATATGATTGATTATGATAGTGATGATAATCAATGAAATTTGCTGTTATTTAATTTTCTAAGGCTTTTGAAATTCTGTATATATTGTTCGATTTCGTTGGAAATGTCCCTTTTTTATACTTTTAGTTATATAGGTTGAGTGAAATTAATGTTGTTCTTTTTCTATGTGTTGAAGAGTTCTTGAATTGCCAATATGAATCTTATTTATTTTTTTCAAAAATACAAATCTATACAAATCTACTTGATGTTATTTACTGAATGTGCCATTTTACTAAGGATATTTTGCATCTTTGAATATTAGTTATGAAAAGGTCTCCTTGCAATTATGCTTAACTGCAAGTCTGGGACTAAGGAGTGAAGGTTTATATGCAGGTCAATATTAGTCCTTTTCTGGGTGTTAATTAAGCTTTTCTAATCACTTATGGAGGTTTGCTTATGAAGATTGCCTACCAGGTCACATGTATCATATCTTGGTAATTTGTCCAGGCAGGGACCAAAACAAAGTTGTTATGTATATATATATATATATATATTCCTTCGTATTTTAGAAATTATGATTGAACCTTTACGATTCATGATTTGGGAAAAAATAATCTCTATTTACAGTTCGTATCTCAGTTTGACACTGCTTGTTATTATTTTTATTTTTAAATCTCGTAGAAATTTACAGTTAAGGTTGAGCTGTATCCAACTTATATCTCAAGTTGTGTCTGTGTCTTGAATCTGTTAACTGAATGGACTGTCATTGTTCATCAGTTAACTAATTTTCAGATAAACTTATTTGGCCTGTGGAAAACTGAATGGTTTTCTGAGTAGTGTAACAAGGCCAGAGAGATCGTAACAGGCATTCCTTTGGATCGGAAAACTTCAAATGGAGTTGTGATGGGTGTTTACTGGTTCCTGAGGAGTGAAGGATGCTTTAAAGTCTTACCTATCTGAAGGAACTTTTCATGGAATCTCAATCTGCTGTTTGATTTTGCATTGTGGAGCTTTCATATTAGCCTGTTGATTAATTTCTTTGTCACATAATGCTGTACTTGGTATAATTGTAACTGATTTCTGTTATCTATATTACATTCTTCTGATTAATTTAGATCTTGTGTGATTGTTTCTCTTCTGATTTCTTTATTGAACTGTTTTGGGCACATGTGTTCTATGAAGAGTTCTTGGTTTTGAGTTGGGTTCATTTGAGGACTTTGAATGCACTCCCTCTTGGACTCTTGAGTGGAATATTTGACTTACAAGAAAGGATCAAGTAAGATCTTATGAATTTTGACTGGAGCAATTTAGTGGTATTCTGAATTTTTTCTTAACCTTTGTGCACAGTTTGTTTGTTACTTTTGTTTCTCCATAAGATAGGAATTGGCAATTAAAATATTGGGATGCTTTGACATTGTGTATATATTATTCATTTTGACATGAGTTTCCACCCTTCAATATCTGTTTTTTTTCTCCCTTTAATTTTTTAGGGATCTCAGGTAGTGTCATGACTGATATATTGTTCTATTATTTTTTGTTGTAACAACATTCTTTGTGATCAATCTCTCATATAACAGATATAATTTTTGTTGCTGGAAGTACAAATAATTTTGTGTTAGAAAACATTTATGAGTGACTGACATAATAAAATATTTACAGTATTATGTGTCAGTGTCACTAATCTTGACTCCATTCTTGATGTGGATATCAATCTTGTTAGGCAAGGTCCTTTTGAGGAGTATTGTCTATCTTGTGCCTTTTTGCTTTTCATACAGTAGTGGTGTAAGTTTAACCTGTTCTGCTGATGCTTTTCAGGTTCAAGATCTGCACTTAATAACTCCTGACTACTTCTTGGAAGTAAGTGGTGCTGTGATACACCCCCTTTCGTATCAACAGGTTAGTTGGAACAATGATATCTTGTTAGGCAAGGTCCTTTTGAGGAGTATTACTGTTGTTCTTTTTCTATGTGTTGAAGAGTTCTTGAATTGCCAATATGAACAATGATATTTTGCATCTTTGAATATTAGTTATGAAAAGGTCTCCTTGCAGTGTGGATGAACAAACTTTTTAGTTAATATCCATTCCCAAAGTACAAACAAAGAACATATGATAATTGAGATTATGGAATGAGTCATCAGTCCTAAAACGCGCTTTCCGTATATAGTTTTCTCTAACTACTTAAATATCAGAACCTTGTCTTAATTCTATTCCCTCCCATTTGCTCTGGCTAGCTAAGAAAACAGATAGTAAAGTAGAACAAGCCTGTATTGGAGCTGGTTTTTTTTAATTGCTGGTTACTTGTACTAAATCTAATGGTGTATACTGTTTATTAATATATATGCATAAGTATATATGCAGTGTAGCAATATATGATGTATATACCCTCAACTTCTCAACAGGTATGTCCACAAGAGGCAGAGGACGAGCAGGGTATGTACCTAGACCCCATGCACCTACACCCCATGCATCCACTAAATCAGTTCGCTCATCCACTCAATCAACACCTGGACCCCATGCATCCATTAAATCAGTTCGATCATCTACACTGCACCCATTTACATCAGAATCGGTACATGAAGTTACGTCACAAGTTTCACACTCGGATACTTCTAGGACACATTGCAACACTGATGGTTTGTAAATATTTTAAGTTTATGTTTTGTTTTGGTTGGTGGTTCTCGTCTTTTCAATCTATATATTAACATGATACTTTTTCATTGTTTCTAGTAGGCACATCCAAGGGTAAGAGAGGACGTGGGAAGTCACGAAGCCTCAAATTGGCCAAGCTAAAAAATCAAGGGGTGCGATTGCCTATTCAGATTTGTAAGGTTAGTGGACGACCATATGGTGAAGCATCTGAAAAATTTACTAGTGAATTAGGGATTGTCACTAGGCAATTTGCCCCACAAAATGTGCCATCGTGGACTGATATTAGTAAGAGGATAAAGAAACATTGGTTGCATACCTTCAGGTAAGTGGTACAATTGCTGAGATTTAGATTTCCTCTTTGCAAATTATTTTCTGGATAATTATTTTCCCAGTAAATTTCCTCTTCCCACATTATTTCATCAAGCATTTTGATAGCACTATTTGTACCATTTATTTGTTTCTGGCACAATAATTAACACGCACCATAAACAACTTTGAGGGAAGATTTTAATGTGCTTTAATTTTTTCTTGTTTGGTATGACAGGAAGGTTTTAAGTTTACCAATGAACCCTATGCTATCGAATCTATCCTCAATTTGATGCACGACCGGTATAAGAGCTATCGCCATGACCTACGACAACGCTTTAGAAGGTTCCCTACAATGGAATCTGCCCTTGCGGATCCACCCGAAAACATGGAAAAAGAGACGTGGAAGTTTTTGTGCGAAAAGTGGTCTGACAAGGACTATAAGGTAACGTTGTCAATCTTGTCTCATTTTTTGTCAAACATGATGGTTTAAATATGAAGTGCCCTAAGCTCCGTGTCATAATATGCTATGGTATGAACAGTAATTGTGTTCCTATTAGAAGTTAAATGCCGAGTTTGATGTAAAATACACATTAACTTGCAGAATGCTTGTGAATTTGTTGAATCTTTAAACAAGGAATTTCTGAAAGACTACTTTACGCATTAAGAAAAATATGCATATTTTATTTTTGTGACTATATGATTTATTATGATTGGCATGCAAAAGTTTGATTGCTGATTTTTAACTTGTGAGAGAAAGAATTAGATTTTTGTATTTATTTTATTTATTTTAACTTGAAATCAGGAGATAAGCATGATCATCTTAGACTTAAATGGGAATATAGCGTAATAGAGCACTGGAGAAAATTGATCTCGTCTACCTGCATCTGTTTGATTTTATGCTTTCATTCCACATGACTGGTGGTGGGTAGCTAGCAAATCATAACTTGTCGATTAATCCCCGTGTATGAAGTTTATTTTATTTTATTTTATATATATATATATATATATCATGGCGGATTGTTTCCAGGTTTGAGAAGTAATATCTAGATGATTTACTCATTATTATATCGTTGTCATATAATAGCCAAGTCTTTACTTTGTATTTTTTTTTATTCATTTTAACTTGAAATCGGGAGATAAGCATAATCATCTTAGACTTAAACGAGAATATGGCATAATAGAGCACTGGAGAAAATTGATCCATAAAACTGACCCATTTCTACAATTTACTAACCCATTTCAACCTGCTATCTCCAATTCTATATTTCTTGTAGATGAGAAATGTTTAATAATAAAAGAAACACTTTGTACTCTGACTTATGCATTTAATAATAGGTGAGATGTGGCAAGAATAAGTTGAATCGGGAGAAGTTGAAAGTCCTCCACACTGCTGGCTCAAAGGCCTTCAGAAAAGTGCAATATGATGAGGTATTAATTATAGAATCTATAATTTATGTTTTGTAATTGTAATTGAACAACGTAATCTATATTGAGGTTTAATGTGTGCTATAAATGGCACAGCGAGACCGTGCCACTGGAGAGGAACTTGGACTTGTTGAGTTGTACAAAAAGACGCATTTTAGTGAGAAAAAAGAGGCATGGGTGCATGCTGATGCTGAGATTAGACATGTAAGACATCAATCTTTATGTACTTTCATTCCTTATATCCTTAATAAAATGTGGATGGATACTTAATTTTATCTCAACTAATGAATATTGTAGTACAAGCTTGAAAAACGGCAAGAGAAAGCTATTGAAGAAGGATCTTGCCTGATATCTGATGAGCAACTTTCTATTGAGGTATTTGGACAAAAAGTTGACTACATACGCGGCTTAGGGCGTGGTCGAAAACCAAGTACAACATTATCTGGAAAACTTACCCGTGCCCAACTCGAGAGGGATAATGAGGCTGCTACAAGGGAGGCTGAAGAGCAACGAAGAATCAATGAGGAGCTGGTGGGAAGATTTCAAATCTTGGAGTCTGATCGCACGGAATACAATGCCAAAGTCGACTTCTTGATGCAGCAGATCAGTCAAAGAGTACCCTCTACTGATTCTTCTTCTTAGTAAGTCATCTTTTTAGAATGTTTGAGTAATTGATATTTGTTTCATTCAATAAATCTGATGAATCTTAGGATATTAATATGATTGGATTGCATGTATATGCTAGTACAGGTTATACATCATTGTGCTTTTAGTATCTTCTGAATTGTTTTCTTCAAGGCAGCAGCACCTGATCTGGGTCCCTTTTGATTGTTTGTGTTAAATCTGAACTGGGTTTTTGATCTTTTGTTCTGGGGATTCAGCTCTAGGTGCGTACAGGGTTAGGGTTTGATTAAGCTGACTCACGTGGGTTTTGATTTCTTTAGGTGTTTTGTGGTTTTTCAAAAATGTGGAGGCATACTGGAACTCCTGCTGATTCTTTCTGAGGTTCGGCTCGAATGCACCGATGTTCCCAAAACCAAATTCCAAATCAAGGTTTGTTATTCTTCAAATGCTAATTGTTTTCTTTGACATACCCATGATTGTTAATTGCTGAATTTCAATCAATATTGTTGAGAACCTAGTCCACATCTAAAATTCATATATAAGAGCTAAATTTGGTTTTTAAGTTTTTGATGAGGTCAATGGAAATTATGCTGGAAATTAAGGTTTAGAAACTCTCTCTAAGCTGACTACATGGCAACAAGAAAAGCACTGATCAGATACTTTTCCTCTTATCACCTCCAGATCTAGGAACTAAAGAGGAAGTGGAGTACACACTTGAACAGTTTATAAAAACAATTGTCTACTTCTCGTTTTACTGTGCCCAGCAGACACAGATAAGAGAAAAGGACTATACATTCACTTTTCTAGAAATTGTGAGTATTAACTTTCTAGAGTGATTTTATAAGATAAGATTACATTAATTTATGAGCAAGGGGGAGGACTAGTTTTGAAATCTTTCTCTCTGAAGGAAATGGATTACATAATAATGAGTGGGCGAAGACAATTTCTGAGGATTAGTTTTGAACTCATCACAACTTGCTGCATGTATACCAGCTGTGGACCTGATTTATACCACCTTAGGGGTAAATTTAGGGACTATTTTTTAGAGGTCTCTTGCATTACTCTTTAGAATTTTTATAAGTAGACAGAATTTTTTTGAAGAACGTATCACATGAGAGACAAACAGTGGGGTGCATTTGTGTGAGGCCCACATGTATCTCACGTGGGAGTGTGGCAGGCGATTTAGAAAAATATTCTCCTTTTTGTCTATATATATATTTGCATAATTACACTTTTCATAGGAGTTATTCCTTTTACTTACTGTTCTACAAGGAATTGTTTTCACTTGAGTAATGTTTGTAATTGAACTTCAGATACTACAATCGGCACATTAAATTGCAATTTATTAAATTAATCTATTATTGGATAATTTTTAATTGGTAATCTATTTGAGAGTTTGGCCTATTCTATGCAGGTCCTGCAAGCTTGCGTTGATTTAAAGCTTGGGAGCTCTCTGCTAGATTTTGAATGCCATTTTAACGAAACCATTGAGAAGAAGATGCGATGAGTTGAGTTGTTTTGTTATGTAGGTAGATATAATTCTAATAACAATATGTTCATTGAACAGTTGAATGCTATAAACAATGCTTATAACACTAGCCTTATAAATTGGAAATGATACTTTTGAAATCTCTGTCATATATACAATCAAGATATTACGTACTAATGAATTAGAGCATGGTATTTGTTTGTTATTGAATGCGATGAGCATTTTTTTTTTTTTGTGTAGTTGAATTTTAATTTGGAGATGAGTGGATGGTTTGGTGATGTATATTTTCTGTTTCGTTGTTGAGAAATCAAGAAAGGAATATAAGTTGATGTTCAAATTAGTATTTTTAGAATAATTGTTACAAAATCAAAAAAACAAAAAAAAAAATTTATCAAACTTTTAGAAACCAATTTTAGTTGTCTCAAAAAATATTTAATAAGCTTTTAGCCACTACTTTTATTTGTCCCAAAAATTAAAACTTTTAACCACCATTTCCCTTTGTCCTAAAAAACTAAAACTTTTACGGACCACTACCATTTGTTCCAAAAATTAAAACTTTTAGACACCAATTTGTGTTGTCGCAAAAATTAGTTTCTTTGTCTCCATAACTACCACCGTTGCCTTGGACTATAAATAGACTTTTAGAGACAAATTTTGGTTGTCTCAAAATCAAAACTTTTTGCAACCACCTATTTTTGTCTCTAAAAGTCTATTTATAGTAACAAATGCAAAATTTTGTCTCTAAAAGTCATTTTTTGACTTTTCCGGACGGGCCATTTGGGACAAACTTCGTGACGGAGGAAATTTGTTGGCTAAAGTTTTTTCCAACAAATATTACCCTTTTAGGAACGGAATAAATTTGTCCCTAAAAAGCTGATTTCTTGTAGTGCAAAGCCCTTGTTTTACAGAAGAGGGTCGCTTTAGCCCCATACGTTCTAGGTCACGTATATAGAGCCTGCTCTCTTTTCTGTGAGAAACCCTTAGATGTCAATCAAGGGGGGCTTATTTGGATTCTTCAGCTTTGGCTTTTTGCTTATTTCCCTGAGTTACAATCCAAATGCCTTAAATTTTTTGAACTAGACCCTCCTATTCATGGCATGAGGCTAGCCAATGCTTCTCTTTATCTTTCTACTTTTGCTTTTTACTTCTCTTTCTTCCACCAACTTTTAGCTTCTCCTTTTTCTTACTGCTTTTTTCCCTTCGAACCCACTACTATTGGCCCACTTTGGTTGAAGAATTTCCTAAGTGATAGGCTCTGTGCTTCACCTGCTCACAAAGATATATGGGCCTCCATTTTAATCCCCAGAGAATTATTCATTAGGACCATGAACCCCAGAGCTTACAAATGCATTGTTGAGCCCTATTGTCCTGCACAATTTGCTAGACAATTTGGCTTCACTTAGGGGGTCCCAATACCTCTCTGTAGTAACACCAATCTAAGTCTTACCACAAGGGATGTGAAAGTTCGAAGGTCCAGACTGGAAGAGGCAACTTCCAAATTTATACAAGACTTGACCGATTTTGAGTATATCCCCTTCCTTCCCCAAGGTAACATTTTGAAGAGATACCAAAATTGGTGAGTGACCAATATGGAAGTGCACCTGGCCATTTCCCCTCAAGACCTACTGACGGTGTTGGATGTGCCCAAGCCCAAAGGAGCTGGAGTTGCTACTTCTTCCACTGTTCTAACCACTCCAGTTCTTGTGCCTGCCTCCACACAATCTGCTCCTGCTGCTTCAACTCCTTCTAGAGTTACTTGGGCCACCTCGAAGAAAGGTATATACCCTCATTTCTTCTCTTTGTACCTTCTTTATAATGCTTTCAGTCTTATCTTTAGTTCTTCTTTTTGTGAAGGTGGTGTAGGTGCCTCACAGGGAGACTCTCCTCAGAAGATTTAAGCTCTAAATCTCCTTAAAAGCAAACGGTAACAAAAGAAAATGAGACTTTTACTTGAGCCTGAAAAGGAATTTTTTTGAGGTGCAACAAGAAGAAGAAGAAAAAGAAGAAGAAGAAGAAGTAGTAGAAGAAGAAGAGTTAATTCAAGAGCAAGAGTCTCTCATGAAAAGAAGGAAAAGAGTGACCGTCCCTTCTTCTGACTTAGTTCAAGATCCCACACATGAGACAGTTGTCAGAGTGGAGGAACTCACTTCTGAAGAATCTGAATCCCAAATTGGAGAGAAAGAAATTGAGGAAGAACATTCAATGCCTGTACAAAGAAAAAAGAGAAGGAAGATGACTGTCTCTCCTTCTGATTTTGTTGAAGACCCTATACATGAGGCAACTACTAAGGCAGTGGAACAAGAGCACTTCAAGGTCATAATTGTCTTTGAGAGAGCTGAGAAGAGACGGCAGCAGCAATTCTTAAGAGATGAAGCTGCTGCTGCTGATGCACTTCAAAGGGATGTTGCAAGAAGACAACACATTGCTGAGCACCACTCTCTTCGAAGCTCTCTTACTGCTACTGTCACTTCTGAAACAAGTAACTTCTTTAAAGCCTCTACTGTTTTTCCTTGTTAATTTTTTGGGTATTGAGCCTTGACATCACTTTGTCCTTCTCTTCTTTTGCAGCAACAACTCCTGAGCTTATCTTTCCAATGAGAACTCCCTCAGTTTCAACTGAGGTTGATCAGATGCAAAATGTGAAGACCATTCAGATAATACTCCCACTTTATAGGCCTACATTCCATGTATCCCCTTTGAGGCCAAACATTCCTGCATCTTTTCCCTTTGGATTGAATCCATATTTCCCTTTCTTATCTTTGGATCTACCTCTATTCGATTATTTTCCGAGCCTTCTTCTTTCCCCTCCCCCTAAGGAAATTCCAATTGTTACTCTATCTCAGATGATAACTGATTCCCCAAAAGAGGGTGCTGGTGGCTCTCCAACCCATGGTTTATTACCTTTATCTACTTCCAGCTCTTCTTCCCTTGACATATTGGTGGCTAGGACCATGGAGACTGCTGAAGATGTTCTATCCATTTCTCCTATCCCTATGTAGTCCTCTGTGTCTTCTGCCACTACTTTTTCTGCACCCCTCATGTCCATGGACGAAGTAGATGTCTTCGAAGCAAGACTAGCTAGTCTCTTTGACATACCCTCTACCTCTCCAATAACTAATGATGAGGCTGAGCCGTTGGTTCTAGCTGACTCCTTGTTAGAAATTCTTGAGAGCTCCTCTTCCTCCAGTAGGAAGCCTTCTACACCTCTAATGGATTTAGACAGCTGTCTGGAATTACTGATATCTTTTTCAAGGATTCCTTTCGAGGCTTTACAAAGGCCGATAATAAGAAATGGCTTCCTGCAGTGCTGCAAAGTTGTTGAGCAATCCAGCATGACTGTCTCAAGTCATCTATCTCAGGCAGCAGCTACTATTGACTTCTATATCAATATTTGTCATATTGCCAAGGCTGCAGAGGAGAAATTAGTGAGAGATTAGAGCTTTGTTTCCACAGCACATTCTGAAGTCTTAGTGCTGAAGGAACAACATTCCTTTGTCTCCCATTTTCGAACTCAACTACTGGAGAAGAAAGCTCAACTTGAGGATGAATCAAGCCTTAATTCAAACTGACACAAAACTGCAGATCACCAACCAAGGATTGGCCGATCGAAAGCAAGAAATGACCACAGCCATTCAGTTGGTTCCCTCATTTAAGAATAGGAAGTCTGTTGTAAAAGAACAATTAAGGCATTGTAATGATTTTTGGGCCAATTTATGGCAGAATGTATTTAACTCTTTATGAAGAAAAACAAATTCTGATTTATCATTTGAGTACTCTTGTGTTCTTTTGCTTGACATTTATTCTACTCCTTGTGTTTTCCAAATAGTTGGAAAATAAGGCTTTAAATATCAGCCATTGATCTTTTTGGGATGTATGTATCCATTCAAATTTCTCAAATGGTATGCCCCAAAAGGCAGGACTCTATGAATTTGATATGGTCCTTCTCAGTTAGGTGACCATTTACCAAACTTATGGCTTTTAATTCGTATTGGGAGTATTGTCTTCCATACCAAATCGCCTTCATCAAAGCTAATGTATTTGACTTTCTTATTGTAATTTTTGGCTGCTTTCTTCTTTTGCAAGAGAATACTGTTTAATGCCAGAATTCTGGCTTCATCTATGCTTTCTAATTCCAAACACATACTCTGATGGTATTGCTCAGGATTTAGCAGGTCTTGGCATCTTACCCTCAAAGATTTAACATTAGTTTCCACAGGTAACACTGCATCATGGCCGTACACCAAGGCATAAGGAGTAACTCCTGTGCTTGACCTTGGGAAAGTTCTATAAGCCCACAATACATCCAACAATAAGTTATGCCAATCCCTAGGATTGTCTTCCACAACCTTTTGTATTCCTTTCTTCAAGGACTTATTGGATGACTCAGCTTGACCATTGGCTTGTTGTCACGACCCAAACCCGGCCCTATGGGTTTAGCACCGTAACCGGCCAATAATCCGAGATTACCGAAGGCCTGCTTAACAGTAGTACAGTAAAACAGAATTCAGGGCCTGGCGGAAGCCAATACAGTAAATAAATAATGTCCATTGAGCTGTGACAGTCTGTATGCCAAAAAGATTTTTCATGCATTCATACATACAAACAGTACGGTCTATACAAAATTTACAGTCACACAGTACAGGGACCTAATCCCTTGATAACAGTACAGTACAGTGGATAGCAGTCTATACAGTAATACAATACAGTAACAGGGACAAGCGGGGGAAAAAGACACCCTAAGCCATAGCATGGCGAACTCGGAACCTCGCAGTGAGGCACGATGGTTGGCTTGACAAAACTGGAATAACCTTGACACCTCTAGCTTTGATCTGGTGCCTGTACACCTACGTATATATATAAGCTGTGAGCTAAAGCCCAGTGAATAACATAAAGCGTAAAGGGGTTTAGAATGAATGTCTTTACAGTAATGAAAACAGTTCATTTCAATCAGTATTTCAGTTGCTCAGTACAGTAAACAGTCGTATGTGGTACATCCATTAGCATATCAGTAACAGTAGGTCTTAAAAGACCGAACAGTAATGATGGCCATCAGTCAGTAAACAGTAGTGGCTCCACGAGGGAACCGACAGAGATCTCTGTAACAGTAACAGTAAACAGTAGGTGCTAAGGATGCCACAGTACAGTTCAGAAATAAAGGACATACATTCATTCAGTAAATAATACTAGTTCACTAAACAGTTCAGTTCAGTATTCAAAAGAT